CCAACTCACACTGTGTCTCTCTCTCCTTCAAAAAAACAAACATTAAGAAAACATTTAGAATTTATTCATCTTGCCTAATTGCAGCTTTAGGTCTGTGGATTAGCAACTGCCCACTTCCTCCTCCCAGCCCCTGGCAACCATCATTCCAGGCTCTGCTCCTGGGAGTCGGACTGCTTTAGATGCCTCGTGTAAGTGGAGCCACCCAGGGCTCGCCGTTCTGTGACTGGCTTATTTCACTTGGGGTGATGTCCTCCAAGTTCACCTGTACTGCGGCATCATCAGGTTTTAAACGGTGAAGTCTGGTTGAGCAGAAGAGCCCACAGCAAACCAGACCCACGCCTTGCTTCATCAGCTCCCTGTTTCTGCTGGGTAGGACCCATCTTGCAGTCAAGATGGTGTCAGATCTGGAAATGACCTCCCTGCCAGCTGAGGTGAGAACACCGTTTTGATGTATGGAAAGACTGCTTTTTGAAAGTCAAGGCCTCCTGGCAGTTGCTCTGTAAACGACTATGGCAGCTGTGCGAGAGGCCATGAATATTACATAAGGACCGTCCGTGCATTCCAGCCAGAATCTCCAAGCCACAATTCCCATAGCAACACACGGAGATTTTACTCCTCTCAGAGATGAAGCAGCCAGCCAAAGTGCCTCGTGCCACCCTTGATTGTTTTTTTAGCAAGATCAACACAGTACCTAATTCTTTTTGGCAAAGCAATTTTTTTTCAAAAACAACAACAACAACAACAACAAAAAAAACCAAAACCAAAAAGGAACGACTGCGTGAAAGGTGTTCATTTAAAAGTTACCAAGTGTCACATAAGCCAAGATACCGTAACTTTGAACAACAATCTATGCTTTAGGAATTGCTGCCATTTGAATGGCTCCACGGGAAAAAAGATTTCAAATCATTACCATGCGTGAAACGAAATGCACCATCCTCTTGGCTAAATACTGTACTTACAGATTTTATATCTGATTCCCAGTTCCCCCTTCCACATATACACACTTTGTATTAGAATGGAGAACATGTTCCAAAGGAAGGAACATGTTGAACCCATAAAATCCTTTATTGCTTTATTTTTGAAAAGCAGAATGCAATCCCTTTGTTAAATATAAGAAAATACGATTACAAAACACCTATGCAGTAAAATTTGGGGAAAAGATCATTCCAGTCTAAGAAAATATACAATTGCCCTGAGGAAAGTGGTTTTCCTGAACAGAGAAATGGTTTACCGGAATAATGAAGTTACAATCACTTGGTGATTAGAAGCAGGTTTTCCTCTTTGTAGATTTGGGGATCCTTTTTTGAGTGCCTCCATCAACTATCCACCCACAGAAACAAGTTGCTTTGATTACAACACAACGGAAAAGCCAAGGCCACTCTCATATATCACACTTCCTTTTCCTATCAAGGAAATCAATCCAACACACTCCATTTCTGGTACTCCTTGAAAACCAACGAAATGCCGTGAAAGACCAACCATCGGCTTCGAACGAAACTTCCACAGGTGGCCCATCACAGACCCAGCACAAGAGGCCAAGAAAGAGCTTGGCAGGGGAGAAATGGTTTTACCTTTGCTTTTTCCAACTGGGCCTGGGCCTGTCGCTCTGCTTCCCTGCGTACCGCCTCCCGATCTTCCTCCAAAGAAACATCTGAGTCGGACGGACGGCTGGTGTAGGAGTCTGCCGAACCCTTCAGAGAGAAATTTGCATTTTAAAATAGATTCCATCTATGATGTTTGCATTGGAAAAGTCTCATTGACACAGCAGTTAGCTTCCTAGATGATGCCATAAATTCCTGAAAAGAGGAGAAAAGAATCCATTTTGTGGCAAACCATCGAGAAAAATCATGCTCTGGTTTGCAGACCGTTCCCTCGGCGAGCTGTGCCTACCAAGTGACCGTTCCTTCCCAAGTCTTATGTTCCGATTAGTCTCCTTTCTGGAAGCCAGAGCAAGTCTCTTTATAATTAAACCAGCTCCGTGGTGCAGTGCCCGGCTGAAGGGCATAGAGGGGTTTCAAGGATGGCTTCGAGAACATTCTACACACTAAAGCAAGTATTTGCAAGTAGAAAGAAGCTACGTCTAATAAAAAAAAAAAAAAAAACCATAAAAGAAACTCCTAACCAGTCATAAACTTGAATTCTCCAAAATGTCACTACCGGGAGATGATGACTCCCACGGTAATCTTAAGCATCCTTTTGTACCTTTTCATTCACCTGATACCTTCACGGACAAAACTGTAAGGCAACAGCAGCCAGCTTCACTCAATCTTTAAGCAACACGTTTTCCTATCGCTTTAAATAGACGTTTGATAAAAGCTGCCTAAAGAAAACACCTGCCCGGGATGGCTTCTACGGCAATAAATCACAACACGGGCAAAGGCGCTCGGAAAATTATAGGACTCTCCCTCGCTCCCCGTCTTGCAATCAGGATCATATTACTAAATCAGAGGAGCCCCTGCCAGCACTCACTGTCACAACAGCAGAAGCAACGACAATATAGAATCTCCCCCAGACGAAAGCCCTTGAGCTTACACAGATATCCGAATTCTTCAGCCTTCCTCCCTTGGCTCTTTTCAGAAGCCTGATCCAGGTGGCCTTCATTAGCCAGACAGTGCCTTTCTCATCCGCAGCTGCAGCCCCGGGCACAGATCCTCAGTGCGCGCTGAGCCCTGGAGAGCCCCTGCTCCTTTCCTATCCATGCTCTGGGCAAGCCCCTCTTCTCCGTCCCTTCCTGCCACCGGGGCTTTCACTCCCTACCCCGGAGGACTCCAATCCAAGGAGATTCTTATTTTCCCATTCCAGGGAGGGGAAAACAAACACTCGAGTGCCTTATACTGCTTTAAAAATAAAGAACACTTCAAGTGCATTCAAAGACAGGCATCAACTCGTTCTCAACTTAATGCATCTTATTGCTCTAAATATTCTCCTCTTTGCGCTTGGGTTGCTACAGGAAATTAGTTGTAAGAGAACCTTTTTTAAAAAAACCCATTGCAAAACGTATGCAGTGACATTTGCAAGTGCAAAGTTCAAGCCTTATCTTCAGAGATCTGGAGGGGGAGGGCGGAGGAGGCACTCACTGCACTGGGCATGCTCCATATGTAGCCTTTTTACGCAGATGCCTACATCACACTGTTAGTCTATGTCAAATTGCCATTTTGCATCCGAAGTGTAAACAGCTGGAGAGGGCTTTTCGGTTCTATAGTAACAGGCACATGGTATGTTTGTCATGTTTCTGCTTCAGTTGAAACAGCCTCTCAAAGACAAAGCATGCAATCTTTTCATTTAATGAGCCCTTTCCATTACCCTGCTACACAAAGTATATCCTATGCCATAAGACAATTCAAAGATAAGCAATATCACGCAGGCATCATTGGAGAGTGGAAAGCGATGAATGGTGCTCATCAATCATAGCATCAAACTGCCCTTGATTGCTGGTGACTTCCCAAACAAGATGCAGGAGACAGATCTCCCCCTTTAATTAGGACATGAAAGTAATCACAGCTCTAAGCAATGAGTTTAACGGAGCTCAAAATGACTTTGAACTGCTTCTCCAGCTGAGAAACTACCGTTTGAAATAAAGTCCCCAGAAGAAACAACAGTATGAACTGTCAGAACAACAATCATGAAGAAATTGCAAAGTGCGGTTGATTTATTAGCTCGAGTTAAGATTTATGGAATAGCTGAGTCCAAACTCTTTTCATAAATAGGGTGATTGAAGCTCGAGAAGAAAAGATACTTACTAATTTCCTCTACCAATGAGATTACATTTCTTCTTTACGAAGAAATACACACTTCTAGATGGCTTGGTAAACATAAAATTCAAACACTGCATTCCAAACTACATTTTTGTTTGTGTGGTAGGGAAGGGGATTATTTTGTAAAGTGTCATGCAAATGAAAGACAGGTGGTTTTATTTTTACTTTTTTATGAATTTTTAAAATATTTATTTTTGAGAAAGAGTGAGAGCACGCAAGAGAGAGACAGTGTGCGAGCAGGGGAGGGGCAGAGAGAGAGAGAGAGAGAGAGACAGAGACAGAGAGAGACAGAGAGAGAGACAGAATCCAAGCAGGCTCCAGGCTCTGAGTTGTCAGCACAGAGCCCGACAGGGGCTCGAACTCATAAACTGTGAGATCATGCCCCGGGCTGAAGTCTGACCTTTAACCAACTGAGCCGCCCAGGTGCCCCAGGACAGGAGGTTTTAAAATCTTTGCTACTTTTTTCTCTTCCTTCATTTCATCTCTTTCTCCCTTCTTTTGTGGGCTAAGACCAATCTTCATGCCTTAAATGCTAGAAAATACAGAATAGAGGCTTTAGAATAAGTTATAGATTGAATATACCGCAACTGTGTGCTATCCATAAATCAATAAACGGGTTATTTATATTCTTAAGAAGTGAATGTAAAATGCATGGGAGATATAAAATGCATTGCAATTTCTTATTCCAGTAGAATTCACAGGGGAGAAATGAAATTTTCTCCATCCACACACGTTAGGGGGATTCCTAATCTTCCCAGAGGGTTTCTCATGGCGAGTGTAGCACAGTAGGAAATTACCCAGAAGCACAGCTTTATCCCACAAAAGGCTTCAGGCCCCATTGTCACCAATGTTAGCATTTTAAACCCAATCACCCTGCAGAAGGTTCCATTCACAACACAGTGAAGATACAAAGTTTCGGTCATTAGTTAGCCCCATAAGGAGAGTAAGAGCATAACACACACATAACTGTGCACTATCCTGTTCCCTTTTGAACAAAATATGATTTAAAAAGTCTTTGCTAATAATCAGATGTAGCTTTTAATTGCACAGTCATGTTGAGACATGTTTCCAGGTTTAAATAATTAAGCAGTTAAAAAAACAAACAAAAAACCTCTACAGTGACTTCTGGCAATGATCTTTTGAATACTGCAATAATAAATTAACTTTTGACTATGTTACAATGTAAGATGTGACTCCCAAATGATGTTTAGTGAGGTTGATAGAAGGGGCCACCATACTTTCTTTCCTTGGATCTGTAGTAGTAGCAGAAAAATGGCAACAAAATATTTTCATTATAGAAGTTACATGTACCCATTGCAGAGACACACAAATAAAGGTCACTTTAAATTCTCCCACCCAAAGATAACCACTATTAAATCATAGCATGTTTTAGCCTCCAGAGTTCTTGCATTTTTGAAAGTCACCCTCCCAACATGCACATTACAATTAATCTCCTTCCTTCTGGGAGTGTGGATTTATGCAGTTAGAAGTAATATATCTAATTAAGCTTTTGCCTTTGGTACCATATGGACTTTCTAGGTCATTCTGCCTCAAGCAGTCTTCAGTCAGGAACAGCTGGCTGTCATTTCCATAACTCCAGAGTAAGTTCATTACAAGATGTGCCCTTGATCTCTTGGGTTGCTACAATGTGATGAGCTGGTCTTCTGTAGTTTTGTCTTTGCAGGTGGGTATATCACATGTTCGGCTACAAATATTTCCTTTCCTACACCTTAATATTCTCATTCCTCATTGTACAGGTCCAAAACGTAACTTGTACCCCTAACGTCTACCAAAACTCATCCAGGATCGTTCACTTTTATCCTCAGAACTCTAACTCCAAATACATGTGCTTTGCTCACAGGAAATTTAGTTAACTGGATTAACTCATGCTTTTTTTAAAGGTTTGTTTTATTTATTTTGAGCAAGAGCTAGATGCAAGCAAGGGAGAGGCACAGATAGAGGGACAGAGAGAGAATCCCAAGCAGGTTCCATAATGTTAGTGCAGAGCTCGATGATGGGCTCGAACTCAAGAACCATGGGATCTTGATCTGAGCCCAAATCAGACACTTAACCGACTGAGCCACCCAGGCACCCAAATTACCTCATTCTTTGTAACTACTCTTCAGTTTTTGTTCCCCCCCCCCAATTTATGCCTAATATTTGCACAAAAAGCATACATTTTTTTTGTATATAGAAAGTTTGCTTTAAAAAAATTTTTTTTAATATTTACTTATTTTGGACAGAGAGAGAGGCAGAGCATGAGCAGGGGAGGGGCAGAGAGAGAGACACACAGAGAATCCGAAGCAGGCTCCAGGCTCTGAGCTGTCAGCACAGAGCCTGACATGGGGCTCGAACTCACAGACCAAGAGATCATGACCTGAGCCGAAGTCGGATGCTCAGCTGACTGAGCCACCCAGGCTCTCCATATGCAGTTTGCTTTTTTGATGCTGTACTCTACTGTTTCAATCATATATATTGCCAACATCATTTTTTTTTCTTGAGCATTCCTGTATTTTCTCTTCTAAAGCCAAAAGAGCAAGAGTCATAAGGCTACTCAGGAATGGCATCTTCGATCCTGAGGTGTCCATCTATTTTTATAGGGAATCTTCATATGAAGATTAAGCAATGTTGTTGGACAAAGTCAATTTCTCACAGTATCCCAGGGTTACCCCGATTCTAGACAAATCTATGCTCCATCCAAAACCCTCAAGACTTCAAATGAGCCTCCTCCTGTATAGGACTATGCTGAGCCAATGGCAAGTCTGAATTCAGTTGCTTCCTCCTGACCTGCCATGGGATAGACAGACATTCCACCGCCATATTCCTCAGGCCCACACTTTTAGAAAAAAGTGGAATGGGAGGGACTTCTGAAACCCAAGACCAAGGGCAAAGACTTCCATCTTGTATTGTCTGTGCATTAGCTGGCAGAGAGAATT